GATTTCGTTTGGATTTTGTTTGGATTGGGTCCCGTGTGATAACGTCCTTAGGGCCTTTGCAGACTGACAGAAATAAGGCAAATTGAGTCCACTTTAACTGCTCTGGCTCAGTGCTAGGGAATCATGGGAATTGTATTGAGTCTTCTCTGTCAGAGAACTCTGGTGCCACAATAAACTATAGTTCCCATGATTCCCTAGCACTGAGCCAGGACAGTTAAAGTGGACTCAATTTGCACTATTTCTGGCAGTCTGTAAAGGTCCGCAGTCATTCAAATCTATCTCTGCTTTCTAAAGTCCACTGTAACTGTTAAACCTAATGGAAGACCAAAGGACAAAGGCCACCTGTTTGGTTCATGGGCTCCTTTAATTTATTATAGTAATTATTTGTTGTTGTACTTTTAAACTGTAAAATGTGTCATTCTAATCTAGAAACACTTAAGGTCATATAATGGTGAAATAGTTGTTTTAATCTTATGTTTATGTGTTCTAACCTTTGTGTTTAAATGATGTTTTGTGTTTAGCTATATATTGTATTTTAATCTCCCCACCTTGAGCCTTGGAGAGAGGCAGATAAGATTATTATTATTAGTAGTAGTATTAGTATTAGTATTTAGAATTCACACAATCCATCAAATCTGTAAATGTTTCCAGCTCTGAGGTTTACAGTGTTTCCCCAAGCTGACTGGGGGGATTCTGGGAGTTATAGTCCCCACTCCCTGTAACTTTTCATTTCTGGTTTCTCCATGATTGTTTCTGTGATCATCAGTTCAGCAAGAGGGGACCTGGGATTGGTATCAATAGTATCCATAGCATGAGGCCATGGCTGTTAAAGCGGTGTCAAACTGCATTATTTCTGCAGTGCAGATGCTGCCATAGCTGCTCCTCAACCTGCCTAATGTTGCAGCTAGCTCACTGAGAGCCACAGAAGAAACAAGATGGAGGGAGGTTCAGCACCGAATTGGCAGCAAGTTGGTTTCCAGTCATACATTTTATATATCCATGCCATGAGTTACCTGTTCCCAATACTGTTCATACATAGCATGTGGAGAGAAATGCAGAGACCATATGGGATGTTATATCCTCTCTTGCCATGAAGTCTTGGCATTCTAGCTTCCCTGGTCAGAATATTCATTTAATTAAACTCCATCATTCATATTTCTTTTTCCTGCTAATGCCACTGTTGCAGAAATATCATGAATTTCCCCAGATACAAGCATGAGAGGAAGGTCATTATGGGACACAGTGTAGTTCTCACTAATGAGGAGTGGAATCTTAGAGGAAAACTGGATTGGTAAAATTAACTTACCCTATATCTAACTTACACTTGACGTCAATGACAGTTAACCATGTGTGAATCTTGGGGATGTGAGAGGACACTGAGAAAATCTGGTCCTTTCAGAAAGGCAATAAGAAATGAAGATAATGCAATAACATATTTCCATATATTTGATTAGAGTGAGGAGGAAATAATCACATATTTCTATAATTTCTATAAATTTCCTTTGGAAATAACAATAATATATAATACGTAATATAATATGTAATATAATATAATATAAGTAATAATTGTAATTATTAATTAATAATTGTATTACATAAATATAATATAATATAATATAATATATAATAACATATAATATATAATAATATATAGTAATTGTTGTAATAATTCTTCCATAAATTTCCTTTGGAAATAACAATAATATATATAATATAATATAATATAATATAATATAATATAATATTATAATAATATAGTAATAATATAGTAATAATTGTTCTAAGAGAGCAAGTGAGGTGTAGTGGTTTGAGTAGGACTCTGGGGACCAGGGCTGAAATCTCTACTCAGCCACTGGGCAAGTCACACTCTCTCAGCTTCAGAGAAGGCAAAGGCAAATCACCTCTCAACAGATTTGGCCAGGAAAACCCCATAATAAGGTTGCTATAAGTCAGAAATGACTTAAAGACACACAACACCAGCAATTGTTCTAAACTTCCCTCTTCTTAGATTATATTTGTTTACCTCAGATACAGGGAATTTCTCTCTTTTTAATTGGCATGAACTGTTTTAGACAGCACTGTGAAATTTGGGGATAGACAAAGGAATGAAGTAGAATCTGAATGATGTGACATTTTTAAAGTATTAACCTCAGCAAGTGAGCACATACTTTTGGGACTCTGTTTCAGATGTTGTTATTAGCTGCCCTCAAGTCCCCTTTGACTCACAGTGACCCTGTGGATAAAACATCTCCATGATCCACTCTGCTCAGGTCTTGCAAACTCAGAGCCGTGGCCTCCTTGACTGAGCCATTTGGGATGCGGTCTTCCTCTCTTTCTGCTACCGTCTGCCCTCCCTAGCATTATTACCTTTTCTACCGAGTCCTGTCTTCTCATGTTGCGGCCAAAGTATGACAGCCTCAGTTTTGTCATCTTTGCCTCCAGGGAGAGCTCAGGCTTGATCTGTTCTAGGACCCACTTGTTTGTCTTTTTGGACACCTACAGTATCCTTAGCACTCTTCTCCAGCACCACATTATCTCAAATAAGCTGATTTTGGCCCTCTGCAGACCAGGGCGTTTGGGACGCCCTGGTCCGGAGCGCCGCGGGGCTATGGCAGCCCCACCGCGGCGCTCCTAGAGCGGCCCTGAAAGGAGCGCCAAAAAGGCACTCCTTTCATAAGTCGCAAAAAGGGCGCCCTAAAAGCGGCGGGCGCCCTTTTTGCGACTCATCCTCCACAGCGCGTCCGGACGCTGTGGAGGGAGGTCGCCCTGAACGCGTCCGGCGTGCGGTGACCCGGAAGTGTTCAGGGCGACCTCAGGAAGAGGAAGGGCCGCCGCGCGTGCGGTGGCCCCTCCTCTTCCAGGCCTCGGAGACGGCTCAATTGAGCCGTCTGCCGAGGCAGTCACTCTCTGTCTGCTTTCTTCACTGTCCAGCTCTCACACGGTGATGGGAAAAACAATGGCTTGGACAATCCTGACCGTAGTATTCAGGGATTTGCCAAGGACAGCCAAATCCTTTATGTTAGCCCTCTCAAGAGCCTTAAAAATACCCCTGCCCACCCACCCTGTTTGTTTGCACAACTTTTAACTGTGATTAATATCTCCAACTAGGGAAAATAGGTTTTAACTATTAAGCTTGATTTGTTTGAATATGTTTTCCCTCATGTAACACACTTGGGCAGGGCTTAGACTAGATGTTCTCTGAGCTTCCCTCCATTTCTGTGACACTCAAGGCTGCTTGTCTTATTAGGCAAAGTGAAATCGCTGCCTTGGGCAGCAGAGTTTGGATGTCATAAAAGGGCAGTGAATCATATATTTTACTTAATTTCTATAATGCTTTTACTGGTAGAGCTGCAGAGAGATGCTTATGGGATTTTCTTTCTCAGGTACCAAAATAACTTGACTGGCCTTAACTACCTTGACTTTGGTGGGTGAAAGGCACCATTTGCTGCTTTGCCTCAGGCAGCAAACTGTCTTGAGCTGCCCTTGATGATTCTAGAAAACAGGTGTACTCAGATTTTTTTAAGCGGGTGTGAAGAATCACATTTCACATTTTAAAGAGAAGAAGTTGGGGAAAGGGGAAGAGGTTGAGTTTGTATTGGACAAATTCACATTCTGACCTATGTAGTTAAAAACACAGGCAAGATTGCTAAATAAACTATGGGGGGTTGCAGACTGCCAGAAATAGTGCAAATTGAGTCCACTTTTAGGGTTAGGGTTAGGGTTAGGGAATCATGGGAACTGTATTTCATTGTGGCACCAGAGCTCTCTGACAGAGAAGGTTCAATGTCTCAGAAAAAAACAAAACAATTCCTATGATTCCCTAGCACTAACCCTAACCCTTAAAGTGGACTCAATTTGCACTATTTCTGGCAGTCTGCAATCCCCCTATGACCAACTATGGACAACCCTTGGGATATGCATCTAAGTAGAACATGGTTGCTTTGTGATTCACTGACTGTTCTTTTGCTAATGTGAATAAACACTAAATGACTGGAAAGGGCTT